AAACCCCCCAGCCACATCATCCCCAGCTCCAGGTGTCCCCGCTGTAATGGGGACAAGCCAACCACCATCAAACAGCAGCACCGCTCGCAAGCAGGCTGTGGAAGTGTCCAGCGTGGCTCTGGACAGCATCCCTGGAGAGCCAGTCCTGGAAACAACTGGCCCTGTGCAAGCAGGGACTGTGGCCAAGCCACCCATGGGTGCTGCTGGTGCACTGAGAGGTGCCCCCCCAGCACCCGGTGGAGGTCTGTCCCCACCAGTGGTACACGTCCTGGCTGCTCAACTAGTGTCAGGGACAAAAACATCTTCCTCAGTCACTGGCAAATTGACTGTGGCCAATGAGTTGGTGCAGCTGGGTGATGCTGTCACTGCAGAGGGGATGCTGGGGACCGCAGTGCCACTGCTCCCCCAGGACGAGCACAGCACAGGGATGTCATCCCCCAGCATCAGCAAGAGCTCTGCTGAGCCACATGCAACAGCCATGCTCCCGTCCCAGAAGGTCACACCAGGGCTGGACAAGGCCACCTCACCTCTGGCCACAGCAGCCAGCATCTCTCAGGCCACAGGCAGCCCTCTGAAGCTGGCAGCGGCCCCAGCCAGCCCTGCTGCTGGCCTCCCCGGGGACCCCCCCTACGCAGCTACAGAGGCAGCCAGGATGGTAGCCCCACCATCTGCATCCTTGGCAAAGGTCATCTTTTCTTCTGCCACCATTGGCGTCAACGAGGCTACAGAGCCAGGGACACGTGCTTTATCCAACACTGGCCACAACGCCTTGCAGGACCTCCCTGTACCCCTCGCTCAGCCACCTCCAGCCCTTTTGCCTCGGGTCCCCAGTGGTGCTGTGCCGGGCGCAGGAGGGACACATCCCCCCAGCCACAGCGCGGCCCCTGGCACGGCTGGAGATGGGCTGCCTGGACCCAGTGCTGTCACCCACTCCCAGGCCACGGCGCTAGCTCCGGGCACACCAGCTATGGCGATGGATGTCACCGCTGCAAAGCACGTCCCCACCCCATCATTCCCAGCTCTTGGAAGCACTGGTGCTGAGCTGGTGTCCATCAGGCGTGAGCCCAGCACCAGACCCACAGCAGGCACCGTGTCCCTGGGGATCAAAGCTACCCCTGTGGGGCTCAGCATGAGGCTGTCCTCCCAGGCAGCTCCCGATGGCCCTGGTGGTCCATCTCTGGGGCCCTTTATGTCTCTGCTTCCCCAGACCCCCTCAGCAGGCCCTGGGGCCACCACGGCAGGCGAATCCCCTCCAGCCAGACCCAGCATGGCCATGTTCCTGTCCCTCACGGGCACTGGTGGAGCAAAGCCAGACGGGGCCCCTCGAGCTGCTGCTGCACCAACATTATCCCTTGGTGCATATGGCATCGGGACTGGGCCAGCTGCCCATCCATCCTCCCTCATTAGCAAAACTCCAATCAGTGAAGCAGGGAAGGAAACAGCATCACTGGCCAGTGGCAATGCCCCCACAGTGCTGTGGGACACCAGATCCATCCCGCCTGTGCCCCATGCATCTCCCTGCCCCAGCCAGCCTGGTCCCACTGCAGGCTCAGCAGCCCCGGGAGCTGGTGTCACCCCTGGAGCTGTGCCAGCCCCACCACTGCTGGTAGAGATGAGTTCACCCAGCACTGCACCAGTCACAGGCAAGGCTGTGCCAGGCACCCCAGGGGTACCCTGAGCTGCCAGCATCCCCGTGGCATCGCGAGCAGGCATCCCC